CAATGAAGAGGATGCATTTGTTTATGTTGACCATGTGGATGTGCATGTGGAACATTTGCAAACAAAAGTGAATTATTTAAAGCTTTTTGCAAATACGAAATATTTTTAAACAATGGTCTATTTGGAACATTTTCCAACTTAGAAGATTTTTGCAAATCATAACAAAATTTTGCAAGATGTCCAAATCTACCACAAATATTACACTTAAATACATGTGGTTCTTTAGAAACATTTGGCAAAAGTGAATTTCTTTTTAAATCAAAACAATACTTGGCCAAATGACCAAAACGATCATAATATTCACACTTATACACATGAGCATATTTATGGTTATCACTATGTGTGTGTGCATGTGTATGAGATGAAGAAGCTTGATGGGATGCACAAACATGATTAGGCTTGTTAGGTTTTTGTACATTATAACAAAATTTAGCAAGATGACCTTTACGACCGCAAATTGAACACTTGTAAATTTTGTTATACTTGTGTGCATAGTGAATAAGTTTCTTTAAAATATTTTTGTGGAACTTTGCACACAAGTCCATAAGCTTGTTGTTATTAACAATGCAAGTTTTTAATGTTAATCTAAAGAGAATATTCTACTTTTAACATGATTCAACTTATTATTATCCGCACAAGCATTATTGTTAGAAGTAGAACATGCATGATCAATTTTGAAGGAATTAAGCTTTTTTCTAATGCTCTCAACTTCTAACATAGCATCACATTTTTCATGAAACAAACTAGCATTTTCTAATTTTAATTTTTTATTGCAATTTTTGAGATTTACATTTTTATTTGCAGTGAGATCAAACTTGGTGGCTAGTGTTTCATGAGAGGATTTAATTTTGACATGCTTGTTTTTTAAGTCAATATAGCTACGATTCAATTTTTTATAAACATGCATTAATAATTCATAGTCATGTGCGAGTTCATCAATAGTGGGATCATTTTCGTTATCGGACTCGCATACCTTACTAGGGCTATCGCCTAGTGGCCATGTGCATGATAAGACTCCTTGTGAACTTGAAGAGGGAACCACCAAAGATCATCAGATCGAATCCAAGTTTCCTTGATGTGCTTTAAATAATTCCCAATTGTGTAAGCACAATCAAAATGAGCAAGTTCGTTAGAAATACAGTGACCAAAAACTTTATGCATAAATTCTAATACTAACTTGTTCATAGTAAATATTTTATTGTCATGTTTGCTCCACTTAGATTTCTCCGAAGTGGGCACAATATAAGCATTGTCAATAACTTCCCATATTGTCATGTTTGCTCCACTTAGATTTCTCCGAAGTGGGCACAATATAAGCATTGTCAATAACTTCCCATAAATCTATGTTTCTAGATTCAAGGCACAATATAAGCATTGTCAATAACTTCCCATAAATCTATGTTTCTAGATTCAACAAAAATTTTGAATATACAACACCATTGTTCATAAGGGAAGTTACTATATGTAGAGAGAGAGAGAGAGAGAGAAAATTAGGGTTTTAAAAATTAATAAAAATAATATTAATTACAAAATAATTTAAATAATTATGTAAAAATTATCTACACATTAAAACGTACCAGTTGTACTAGTACAATAGAAAATACCCAATAGTAGAAATAATACAACAAATTATATAATTAAACGAGATTAATTAATAAAAATATAAGTACTTATATTTAAAATTAAATAATTATAGGATAATTATCTACGCAATAAAATGTACCAGTTGTGCTAATACGATAGCTGATATGCAATAATTAAAATAATACAATAATTTACACAAATAATACGTAATTAATAATTCAACATAATACACGAAATAATACATAATAGTAATAATAATACAACGTGTTATTTAAAATAATATGTAATAGTACCGATAACACTACAGATTAATTCCAAAAAAAAATTTACCGCACAAAATAAATTTATAAATATTAAAATAATTTAAATAAATATAAAATTTAGACTTTTAAATCATAGAAAATTCTAGAAGGCTGAGAAAAATGCAAATACTCTTCCAAAAATAATAATTAAATATTTAAAAATACCAAACATTTATTTTAACTAGTATTAAATTTTACGGTCATTACATTCTACCCCCTTAAAACAAATTCCGTCCTCGGAATTAAAATAACAAGGATGAAATATAAAGATAGATTCACTTCAACTTATATAAGGTTCAAAATATATTGCATATCCATAAATAAGAAAAGTCATATAAGGTGATTCAAATAAGATACGAGACAGGACACCTAAGATTCATGAAATAAATGAGGGTATCGTTGTTGCATCTCAGACTCAGTTTCCTAAGTCGACTCTCCAGGAGAATCTGGGTGCTACATCACACGAACAAGCAAGACAGTCTTGTTCTAGAGGGTCTTCTCTCTTCGGTCCAAAATCGCCACTAGCTGCTTCTCGTAAATCAAATTGGATCACACCTCAATCTCCAAGAAATCTACAACATGACTCGGATCTTCGACGTATTTTCGCAACTGAGAAATGTGGAATACGTTATGCACTCTAGCCAGGGCGGGTGGTAATGCAAGTTGGTATGCCACTTCTCCCACTCTCTCTAATATGTCGAAAGGTCTCACATATCACGAACTTAACTTCCCATGCCTTCCAAAGCGAATAGTGCCTCGGTTGTGGGAAATCTTCAGGAACACATGATCTCCTGGCTAAAACTCCAAGTGTTTGCACTTCGCGCCTGCCCAATGCTTGAATCTGTCCTGCGCTATGCGAAGTCGCTCCCGAATGATAATGACTGAATCAACTGATTTGTCAATCAACTCTGGCCCAAAAATCTCTCACTCACCAACATCGTCCCAACTCAAAGGAGAGCGGCACTTCCTCCCATATAATGACGCAAAAGGAGTCATTCCAATGCTAGCCTGGAAGCTATTATAGTATGCAAATTCCACCAAATGTAAGTGATCTTCCCATGACACGTGAAAGTCAAGCATACAAGCTCTAAGCATATCCTCCAAAATTTGAATGGTCCTCTCTAACTGCCCATCGGTCTGGGGATGATAAGCTGTGTTGAAACTGAGACTGGTCCCAAGACTCGCCTGCAAACTCTTCTAGAACTCTGAGGTAAATCGGGTATCGCGATCTGAAACGATGCACACGGGAACTCTATGCAATCGCACGATCTCCTGCAATACGAGAGATTTACTACACTCTTGGGAAAGGAACTCACTAAAATATATAGAGATAAATATTTACCTCCATGTTTCTCTAAGCAAGATGCTCTGTCGATTGTCCCACTCGGAAAGGAATGAAGTGAGCCGATTTGGTTAATTGATCTACGATCACCCAAACAGCGTCATTTTGTCTAGTACTCCGAGGTAAGCCAGTAACGAAGTTCATGGTGACATGCTGCCACTTCCATTTTGGAATAGGCAATAGCTGCAAAAGACCTGCGATGTGCTGATGCTCTGCCTTCACCTGCTAACATACAAGGCACTTAGCCACACTACGAGCCACATCTCTCATCATACCATGCCACTAAAAGTTTAGCTTCAGTTCCTTTACATCTTCGTACCTCCAGGGTGAATAGAATACGGTGAGTTGTGAGCTTCCCGTAATATCTCCTCTCGAACATCTCCTCCTGCTATGCAGATACGACTCCCAAATCATAAGGATCCGTCCTCATGAACAACAAATTCTGGCCGAAGACAGCCACTGCTAGCTCTCTGCACTTCTGAAGAAATGAGTCACTTGTTTGTGTAGCCTTGATTCGCTCGACCAATGTCGATTGAATCTGGAGATTCATCAAAGAAGCAGTGACTTCTGGAAGAAGAACTTCTATACTCATATCTCTCACTTCCTGTTGAAGTCTCCACTGAGTCGTGAGGGTCATGATCACTAGCAATCGACTCAAAGCATCTGATACTACATTGACTTGCCATGGTGGTACTGAAGATCAATGTCACAATCTGCCATCAGCTCTAACCATCGGTGTTGCCTCATGTTGAGATCCTTCTGAGTAAATATGTACTTCAAGCTATTATGGTCAGTGAACACCTTCACTTGCTCTCCCAACTGATAATGCCTCCAAAGCTTAAGGGTAAAAATCATAGCTGCCAACTCCAAGTTATGGGTAGGATAATTCTGCTCATGCTTCTTCAACTGACAAGAAGCATATGCTACCACATGACCATCCTCTGCTGAAGAACGCATCCTAATCCTCTACCTGATGTGTTGCAAAACACCTCAAAGTTCCCACTCTTATCTAGTATCGTCAGGACTAGGACCAAAATTAGTCGATACTTTAACTCCTCAAACGCCTGCTTACAAACGTCGGACCAGACAAACTTAATATCCTTTCTCGTAAGTCATGTCATTGGCTTCGTAAACTTTAAAAAATCTCTGATGAAGTAACGGTAGTATCCAGCTAATCCCAGGAAGCTCTTAATGTCTGACACCGACTTAGGGGTAGGCTAATTCTTCACTACAGATACCTTCTCCGGATCCACTGATATGCAGTCTCCTGACACCACGTGTCCTAAAAATGCAATACGATCTAGCCAGAACAGGCACTTACTATACTTGGCGAATAGCTGATGCTCTCTCAATGTCTTCAACACGTACCGCAAATGCTCTGCATGCTCCGCTTCGCTCTTAGAGTACACTAAGATATCATGAATAAAGACTTCCACAAACTTATCCAATACATCATAGAATACCATATTCATCAGGTTTATGAATGTTATCGGCGCATTAGTCACACCAAACGACATCACTAAGAATTTATAATGTCCATATCTCATCCGGAATGTAGTCTTGGGGACATCAGAATCCTTATCCTTCACATGGTGATACCCGCTCCACAAATCCAGCTTAGAAAATACTCTTGATCCTCCCAATTGATCGAAGATATCATCGATACGAGGAAGTGAATACTTATTCTTCACTGTCACCGCATTCAACTCCCGGTAGTCAATGCACATCCACTTGGATCCATCCTTCTTTCCCACAAGCAACACATGTGCTCCCTAGACCGATAAACTGGGTCGAATCAAGCCTCTCTGCAAGAGGTCATCCAACTGAGTCCGAAGCTCGGCTAATTCTGCCAGAGGCATATTATAAGGGTTCTTAGAGATCGAAGCAACTCCAGGCTTTAAATCTATGGAATACTCAATTGCTTGATCCGGTGGCAATCCGTAAATATCGTCAGGAAACACATCTTCAAATTCTTGAACTACATCTGGCTTCTCGGATTCCACTTGCATTGCAGCTAACATCGCCTTTTTCTGTCTAGCTCTGTACTCTACATGTCCGACCGATGTACTGCCACTGAGGAACTCAAACCTCGGGTGATCCGGTATCTTAAATACTATGCTCCGATGGCGACAATCAATGGTGGCAAAGAATGACCCCAACCAATCCATCGTAAATACTGCATCAAAGCTCGACAAATCAATCACTAGAAAGTCTGCAAAGAGTTCCCTCCTACAGATGACCACAGGACATGCTTCATAATCACTGGATGCTACTAAAACGCCACTACTAGTGTTGATATTCCAGCCTATAGTCAGAGAAGTTATAGGAAGAGAGTGGGCACTTGCAAATCGACGAGATAAAAAACAATGGGAAGCCCCAGAGTCAAAGAGTGATAAAGCAGGAACGAAAGAAACAAGAACCTTGCCTATTATAGGAGGAGATAAATGCAACTAACTTAGTACTCATAACAATCCTATCATGATATCATCAGGCAATGCTAAATAAGGAAGTTCATATATAAATAAAACTAAGATGAACAATTCTTACCAGTGATAACCTGGTCGTTCGCCTCAGCTTCTACGACTAACATCATAAACATCTGTCATTATGGTTGCTGCCTTTGTGCTTCCTGATAAACCTGCTACTGTGGAGGAAGAGGCCCTGCTCGAGGACAGGATCTGTGTTGAGCCGGAGCTGCTGGGGTAGGTCGAGGTAGAGCTGGACGAGCTGCCCGAACTGGAGGTGGGGGCAAACGGGCTTACTACTTCTGCAGACAGTTCGGACTAATATGATCGGAGGACCCACATGTATAGCACAACCAAAGGCGCTTGTGGCATTCTTACTGGGTATGCCCGGAATAGCCACGATAAGAACACCTCACTGAAAACTAGCCATGAGACTGCACTCCAGGGCGCTGATAAGGGTGAACATGAGGGGGTGGCTGACACTGAGAATGTTGCTACCTCTGTAGGGTTTGCTGCTTCTACCTCGGGGAAGGATGCTTGACAGTTCTAGCTGGAACTACTGGTGCCCTGCTCTGAATCACATATAGGTTTTCAGGTTCCTTATGCACACTTTCGATATTACGCTACATCCAACATAGCGTCATAGGTCGCTAGTGCTCTACCAGGCAGAGCAAACCTGATATACTTATCCAGACCCTTCTGAAACTGATGCCTCCTAATAGTAGGGCTTGTAACTAGATGGGGAGCATATCCACTCAGGGAAGAGAACTCGATCTCATACTCATCTACTGATCAGCCTCCCTGCTTGAGCTCAACAAACCTCCCGAGTCGACTGAGGAAAATACTTCCTGTTGAAGCGCTCGATGAACGTCTCCCACAGGATTGGCCTCTCTAGATGGATCTTCTTAGCTGCCCACCATATCCGAACGGTATCGATGAGCTGAATATCCATAAGGTTCACCCATTCAGTAGGGCAATATGGGTCATCGTGAGAATAGTCTCAGTGACCTTAAAGAACTCCTCCGCTGCTAATGGTCCTTCAGCACCAGAGAAGGAAGGCGATCGCATGTACCGAAACTCCCTAACACCAGACTCTACGCAAAGAGGAGGCTAGTGTTATAGCTCCCTATGCAGTTGCCCAGCCAGGTGCTGCTGATTAGTGACCAATCCCTAAATTATCGCCAGAAGTTAGTTCAGATCCACTTCGGACGGTGGGGCACTGCTACCAGACGGGTTACTATAGCTACGCGTACCCACCATGGTTCTGAAGGAAAACGAGGATCAAAAGGAAAACTAAGGTTAAAATCAAAACAATTATATATATATATAAATTGTCCACTATATTCTTACTAGTGAGGACTCGGGATCGTGACCTACATAGGCCACCACTAAAACCTGTCATGCCCCGTTTCCTAAAATACTGGTGAATCGGAATGTGAACAAGTCCGTGACGTATTAGATTAAGAAGAAATCTATACTATCATTTTTTTTCCTTTCTTCTCAATCCAATATGCTAAGCGTCAAATACATAAATCTCAATCACATATTCCCGTTCACAATAGTGAGAATATAATTACAACCCAGAATAAGAAGTAGACATATTATCAATGGTAAATCATCCCAGACACAAAAAAAATATGGGTCAAACATACCCTTATTACAAAAACGGTCTAACTAGGAATAAAAATACACAATCCATAATAAAAAGAAATACTGATAAAATAACTAAATCCATCATCAAACTAAAAATATTATAAAAGAGTTCTAGTGTTCATCAGCTACTACAGAAAAGAAAACACGTCTAGACTTCAGTTTGTTCTTCCATTCCATTGGAAGGACACTCCAACTAGGCATACATCGGTTTTGCTGCATCATCGAACTAGACTTGTTCATCCTCTAAGTTTGACACACACCAGAGAAAGTAGGTGTACGTCAGCGTGCATGGCACACGACAAGATCTCACATGGAAAAATAAAACGGTCGTATGACCCATGTTATGACAGTAATAATACTAATAAGAAAGACAATGATACATGTAACTAGAAATCTAATAACATCAACATGCGAAAACACTACTAAACATGATAATCATAAGGCTAACTGCTCACTATAACCAGGTCGAGTACTAGCCATCCTAAAAACTCATTGGTCCACATCTCAAATAAAGTCAACATTCATATCACCGAATAACTGACTATTTACAAATCCCTACGTGCATCCAAACCCATAAAACGGTTTGGTGAGAGGGCTACACGTAATCTGATTTCGGCCTGGTTCGAACTCAAGCAAAACTCGGGTGATGAAATGATTTCACTGATCAAGTGCGAAACGGTTCACTTGGCCCAACAAACTAACCCCAGTGCGAAACGTTCACTAGTGCGAGTCTGGAAGATACATCAACAACTTATCTGATCACATGAACCATGACTTCCCCATCCCAACTCTTCTCATTTTCTAAGTCCACAACCAATCCATATTAAAACTCTGGTTCACCACTTAATTTTAGTCAACACACCCACACATGTCACTAAATCTGTTCATGACGCACAATGCCACTAAGTTATGAACTACTAAGGTTCTCAATCACTACAAGAGGCAATAAATAAAACTAATTCTATACAATGATAATATGGCATGTCGAACATGATTAAACAAGTTCATAAGACATGAGTAATAACTGCAAACGAAATGTGGAATGCATGAACAGAGTCTACACAGCATAAATACACACGTAAATAGACTTTATTAATATCTTACTACTGAGGTGTCCAAACTTCTCATGCAAGCTATCTGTAATTAAGTATCCTCTAATATAATAATGTGGTAAAAAGAAAACTGGAAACCGACATTGTTTTGTACATGAAATATCGCGCTCTACGACTATCGGTTATACGTTCTTAATTAAAAAAATTCTTTTTCCAATAATTAATTTCTAAAACTATTTCTCATCATAATTATTATAAAATAATATATATATATATATATACACACATATATATACGTATATATAGAGGGTCTTAAGATTGGCGATCTGAGAATAGTGTTGCCCTTCTGTGATATTGAAGGAGGAATTTGGTGGATGAGCACTACAGCCCTCATTGTTCCCACCGCGCCAAACTGTTCATGTATCTAATTAGTGAGTTTGATTAGGCATTGTTGTTCTTGTTGTTCATGTATCTAATTAGTATATATATATATATATTCCTCTATAATAACGGGAGGACCCAAGAATCAATATTTATGCTACAGTATTTTTTAAAAAATTTATTGTAGGAGATAAAAAATATTACTGCATATATATATATATACTAGTTTTTACACACGTGTAATGCACGTGATTTAATACCATGATTAAGTATTTTTGGCAGTTTGTGCTCATTTTTTTTTAAACTCTTACATCCCGATTATTTTTTTATGTTTGTTTAAATGGGATACACCCAATTTAAATTTTCATGTTGATATTTGAATTGACAAAAAACAAATATAATTTAAAAATAATTTGAATTTTCATATTATTTTTGACCGATATGAAACTAAGCTTTATTTAAGAAAGTATAGCATTGCAAAGTAAAAAATATTAAAATAGTATTATACAAGGAAGGTGAATATTTAAAACCAATATGGCAAAATGATTGACTTAAAGTATGTTAAAACGATACAAAAGAGAATATGAAGTTTATTCCTAATCATTGATAGACTTCATAAAAAAATATAAATTAAAGATTAATACTAACTCTAGTATACTTTTATATGATAAAAGCATCCACATAAGAATATAAAAGTACTGAAAAAAAAATTCATGAAACTACCTTCTAAAGATTCTTAATTTCACTCAAAATAATTAAACTATTCTATAAAATATTCATAAAATATTGTTTTTATTTCTTCTATTTTATTTTTTATTGAGTTAAGATCAATCCTTCTTCAGGTTTATCATTTATCATTTCTCAGACAATTCTAGAGTATTGTCTTCATCATCTACATCAATTGTGACATCAGGCTAATTTTGTATTTTTTATGCTATTATCTTTCCTAGGCTCGTTAATTTTTTATCATCTCATTTAACTTTACAAAGAAGTCAAATATACTTATGATGTTCAACACAAACTGCTCAAAATATAGACTTTGATTTTTTCTATTTCAATGAGAATAAATATTAATTTCATATATATAAAATTCTTTGTGTTCCTAATTTATTACTTAAATAAATTAGAAGCTATCTCTTTATTTTCCTCTAATATGAATTCTTCTGATGTGCATCCAATAAGAATTTTTGTTATTTCAATAATATTACCTTTGCTTTATCCCTGTCATTTTCCATAAAGATCTAAACTAAATACATGTATTATTCATTACCAATTTCTCTTAGATTATAATATTAATATTTAATTTGAAGAACACAGTATGGAATTTATGAATACTTACTAATTTTTCTTATGTCTTTCATGGAGATTTTTTCTTTGATTAGGATAAGGTTAATAAATTATTTTTTAATGTAACTCACTCAGTGCTTCATTAATAGATATGTCTTATGTTAATGCCAATTCAATTGATTCATTGACGTTTTTTGAATTTTAGATTTATTTCTATCACTTTCCCATTTGCAATGGAAATAACTCAATTCTTTTAAAGTTATCTCTAAATATTCTAATACTTTCTCCATATGTAATTCCTTGTATTCTTTTACCCTATAAATATTATTAACGTCAAAGATTAAAGTTTCTAAATTAAAATCAATTAATGCTAAGGTATAATATTATAGTATTTTATCATTTCTATGGATTTAAACATCTATCAATTAATGTTACGAATGTATTTTGACTACCCCAACTTATTACTAAAATTATATAAAATTACTTTAATTTATATGGTGCCAATAATTTTTAATCTATAATATTTTTTAAAAATTTTATCCATTAACCGGATGTTTTTAATCAATTCTTATTGTTTTTGTTTATCAGTATCAACTTAGACTATTCTTAGATGCTGAAAATGGATAGTAAATCCCTAAATTAGAAATTTTAATATATATATATATATATATATATATATATATATATATATACTATATATATATATATATATATATATATATATATATGAAAATAACCAAACAATTACATAATATATATAT